ATTAAAAATTTTCCCCATACATGAATAAAATATATCTGCTCACATAATGACCTTATTTAAAAATATAGTTATCTATAATGTATTTGAATCTCATTTACGCCCTATAAAAAAGGTCAACCCGTGGAATTGAAATTCGCATGCTCCTTTTGCCGAGCTGATCATAAATGCCTGGGCAGGCAGCGACAAGCATATAGTCATAATCGAGTGTTAATGTTTGGTTTGTCGTGGATTAAATGAAAAAAATCTGAATTTACCCGAAACCACAAATCCGCCCCTTCATAATAAAAATCACAAACCACCTAAAGCAGCGAAACCGCGTGCCGCGTAATCGACGGCGTCGAACTCGCGCGGTGTCGCTGCAAGCGCGTCGCGACGGACGGAGGTTCGACGCGCAACTGGCGGCCAATGTCGACGCTCGACGCCGCGGTGGAGGACGGCGTCGTCGGCCGCGCTCTTTTCCTGGTGGATGCGCCGGCCGGCGATGGAGAAGTCAGCGAAAGGAAAGCACCTGTCACTTTCGGTGAATGTCACTGTCGCATCTCGCGTCTGCCTACTCTTCCATCTGAGACACTGTCTTGGAGACGTACATCGGACTATACAGAGTGGCGCATCGAAAACGAAACACGCATTTACTGGCAGCTCAGTTTTTTTTTGGAAAAACGCTCAGACCCGTCGATTTTGTTTTCGAGGGGGACACAAATTTGGCAAAAAATCGCGTTGACACGTGCAGCCCCCTGGGCGGGGGTGACACCAACCCTAAAATCTTAAATGGAAAGGGGGGTAGAGTGATACCTTATTTTAAAGGTCTTTCAATTCCTTTTATAATGATGTAAAATACATGAGCTTCAGTTCAGTAGTTTTGAAGATTTATTGATTTAAAGCTTAAAGTAGACTTTAATAGGTACATCAGATTAGTTTGTACTACTTTCAGAAGAAATTTGACTAAAAGAATTTACTTAATAAGTAAATGCTTTTCTTCACTACGCCCATGGTTTGTTTATCATTTTGTTATTGAATATAGCTACTGTAGCGTTTTTTTGTGGCAAAAACGTTATTTCTTGGACAAAAATAAGGAAATATCTCGCACTTATTTTAAATAGTAATTTAGTACATAGTTTTCGATTGATTTGACGAAACTTTGTTGCTAAAATAACTTGTAACGCTTTATTACATAAATTAACCATGGTATATTCCACACCAGAAAGAGTTGAAATTATCGAAATATTTTTTGGAAGTAATCAGTGCGCTAATAGAACAGCAGAAATATTTAATGAGCGACATGAGTACAGTAAGGTGCATCGAAAATATGTTCTAGAACTTGTGGCTGAATTTCGGGAAACTGGGTCAGTCGCCAATAAAAAACGCAACATTAAAAATCCCATAAGGAACGAAGCAACAGAAGTGGGGGTTTTAGGGCAAGTTTATGTAGATCCTACGTTAAGTACCCGCAAATTGAAGACTGTGTGTGATGTTAGTCGACGTACTGTCCAACGGATTTTAAAGGCCCATAGTTTTCATCCGAATAAAATTCACCTGGTACAAGAACTTAATGAAGACGATTTTGATCGGCGATTACAATTTTGTGAAGATATGCGTGAACGAATTATAAACGATGAACATTTTCTATTCAACACTTGCATTTCCGACGAATGTTCCTTTTTCTTAAATGGAGTAGTAAATCGTCATAACTGCCGATATTGTTCCGATTCTAATCCCAGAATTTATCATGAGGTTCATACACAGCCGCCTCAAAAATTAAATGTTTGGGCTGGTATTTTTGGCGATCAGTTAGCTGGTCCTTTTTTCTTACCTGGAAATTTGACCGGTGAAATGTATTTGGAATTACTGTAAGACGCCATAGATCCTGCATTAACAGCCATAATTGAAAATCAGAATGACCGGCGGTACATTGCGAATAGATTGATGTTCCAACAGGATGGTGCACACCACATTACGCATTACGTGTTCGACAATATTTAGTTCAGACGTTTCCATATCGATGGATTGGTAGAAGAGGTGCCATTGAATGGTCCCCAAAATCGCCAGATTTATCACCTTTGGATTTCTTTATGTGGGGTCATTTAAAAAGCAAAATCTGTGCTACTCAGCCAACATCATTAGAAGTCCTGCGACAAAGAATTGTGAATGAGTGCCTTCAAATTACTTCTCAAATATTGCAAAATGTGCGGCAACGTTTTGAGCAAAATCTTTATTATTGCATGGAGAGTCATGGTGGCCATTTTCAACATTTACTTGCCAAACGGGTCAGTTCATTCTTCATTTCTAAATTACTTTGCTGCCAAATGTATTGACCTCCTCTAATGATGATGTATTCGTTTTAGTTAAACTTTAAATCAATAAATCTTCAAAACTACTGAACTGAAGTACATTAATTTTATATCATTATAAAGGGAATTGAAAGACCTTTGAAATAAGGTATACTCGACCCCCCTTTCCATTTAAGATTTAGGGGGTGGTGTCACCCCGCTGTATACAGAGTGGATGACTACCCATCTAGCAAATATATTTTATAATTTTCGACTGCCGGTGCTATTTTAATTTATAATTGCTATATTACTGCTCTTTGAATGTAATTTTGTCTTAATGTAATTGCTCGTAAGTCAATTAGGCTTTTAAGTATTTTGATCAGGTAGTCGTAAGAATAGCTAAATGGTTTCCAGCAAAAGCTAAAGTAAAGAGAGCACCTTGGAGGGTGCTTGTCTATCACAGAATGGCGGCACCGATTGCCACACAGCCACACAATAGAAGGGATAGCTGCTATGGAGCCTCTCGAAAGAAAGGCTACCCAAATGGAAGCTCTGAAGCAAAGGCAACCGAAGGCAGGAAGTCCCAGTTATAACTCAATACGCGAAGGTAGAACCCTCGAACAACGAGGGTTCAGAGAAATGGGGGACTGCTCCTCACCGACCTGAGTCCTACTTAAAGATCGCCTCGGAGTACCAGTGCAGAAAGTTCCCTTAAACTCGAAGGTTTAATGTAGCTGTGAAAACGGCCAAGTCTCCAAAAGTGTTAGAGAAGAACTCCGACAGCAAAATTCACCAAGGAGGCCGATTTCCATCAAAATCTCCACAACCCGGAAATCCAGCACTGGGTGTGACATTATTTCACTAAATCGGGTTGTGGACGTTGAACTGCTACACGAGAGCAAAGGAAAAAACAGCACCAGTTCTCGTATTAATGTCGACGGAAATGATGAAAAATGATCTTTAACGAGATGGAGAGTAGAGTACGATTTTCTACCATAGAACTATTACACCGAGAGAATTGTTTTGTTATAAAAATAAAATTCGATATTTTTAAGAAAATTTATTATTCTAAATAAGAAAATAATTTACTTTGTCAAGATGTAGTTAATTTTTAATCGACCATAAAAAGACGCTGTAACACATATTGCACTCCCGACTTCCCAAATAGGAAACATAATTTTATAATTCTCAACGACTAGAGGTCAGTTAAATTAAAGCAAGAATGTAGATTTCGGTGATTAACCATACCCCGTTTTAAAATTGAACACATTTAAAAACTTACCAGAATTTTCCGAAAAAGTGAATGCCTTATTTGTTGTTTAATATGTTATTGTTATAAATGCTTTTGTATCCGCAAAAACATATCTTTGTTTTATGGTAATTATGTGATAATTTTTGAAGGTTCCGTCTGAGTTCAATATGCTTTAGCGAAAGATAATATCAGAAAGAAGATCATAATAAATAAATTTATAAATCGTTCACATGGTGCTAATAAAACAATGTTAGTCATGTTGCTTTCTACTTTGATTTACGACAGCCATTTTTTAGTATACAACGAAAAATCATTTTTGCAATGATAAAGTCTTAACTTACTACTTTAATGTTTATATAATGGTATAAGATGGTTCAATTGAATTATTTCATTACAATACACGAAAGAATAAGAAAAAATATGCAATGGAAACTTTGACCTTTTCTCTTAAAATACAATAAAAACTAATATACTTGAGGCGCCTGAAAATTTTGCTACATTTACTTCGAAGTTGAGTCATTTATTTTAACAGTGAGTAGATCTGATCAAAAGAAATGTCTTTTTCTTTAACATTTTTGTGGTAAAATTAAAGTAACAAAGTTATAGCTCTTTAGAAGTTTGAGTACCGCCCTGTCTCAATAATAATATTATGTGCTCGTGTTTGGCAACAACGGATATAATCCGCCTTATCGGTTCATCGCATCGGAAACAAAAAAGCGAAAGACTTTGAAAGCTTATCACGATGTTTTCACTACAATTTTATTCAGTTGTATTCAGTCAATGTGTCAGTCGGTAACGCGTGAGTGAATAGTGGTGTTTGTTGCGTGGCACAAACGAAATAAAAAATGGCACACGTTTACGAAAATGCTGAACTTGTGGACATGATTCTTATTTGAAATGCTGCCGCGGCATCACGGATTTATGCGGATCGGTTTCCCAATCGAGTGCCACCAACCCCTCGTGCCTTTGTCAATGTAGTACAAAGGGCTCGTGAATCAGGTGACTTAGGACCTCACAGGGGAGGGCATGCCGATGCTCCAAGACCGCACGATCAAATACAGTTCCGCACTGAAATACTTTTCGGGCGGATACTTTATAAAACAGGTTAAATTTTTTTTTTAATTTTTGAAAAGAACTGTATATTTCGCAATACCAAACTGCTTATTGCTGAATTCAAAAGAACTAATCCATTTCATCAAGATGATTCACGTAAAATTGAGTAATGTTCGTATGTTGATATTTTGAAACACTAAATCAAAAATGAGTTTCTGTAAGTTCTCTTATCGCACGCAGTTGCAATGCTAGATATCTTGACAAAGTGAAATGTTGGGGCAGTTTGTGGAGACTTTTCATATTTTTTTGAGCATACTCCCTGAGTAACCATAATCACCCAAAAACCCCACTGTTCTAAACTTCATCAAATCTGACTTAAGTATTGGATTATACTGTTTGTCCACAGTAATGCTTAGGACAAAAACCACTCATACTGTCTGACTTTATTGTTTAACATGCACATCCTTTTTTAGGAACCTTAACAAACAGAATTTTCCTACTCCCGACAGGACACAGCGGCCTATAATTGTTGCAAATTTTGACTCCTTCATGGTGCGGTCGATGATTCTGCAGCTCATTGAAAGCATCTAACTGTCCATGAGATATCTCAATGGGGTCCTGGTACACGATCCACACCGTGCATTCTATACAAGGAGGTCTAGCAAGTGATCCATAGTAAAAGTAGTAATCACTGCTCGTAGGTATCAGCTTTAGAATATCAACTTTATTGTCCATCGTGTGCCGTTTGCCTTTAAACGTGCAATGCTTCAATCCGGCTATTATTTTCGCTATTTCAGGATTTTCCTTCTTACCAACTTTCAGGAAGACAGCCACAACGCAAACGCCGTCTTTAGCGTCCATCGCTTTTGATAACTTGCGGAATTTGTTGCTGATGTGGGAAAAATGGATTTCGGCGTCGTATTTTTTTCCATCAACGGCATGTTCTGATCCGTTCGTTGACTCGGTGTTATCGCCCCAGTGGCAATGGATGTGGTCCAGAGTGTATTGAGAGGTCAAAGGTCCACCTGGTTGGAACATATTTCGAGAGTTAGCGGAGTATAGCAAACATAAATATATGCTCTTATAGAAGTGTAATTTTTATTTTGATTTCCCCTTACTAGGGCCTAAGGAGTTCCACAACAATGTGAAGCTAAAATAATCTGAAAAACTCATATCCTGTGGTTTTTTGCCGCTAATTACGAATCTCTTATCAAAACTACTATACTTCCAAGATGGGGAAACTGGATCCAGTAACAAATTGATAGAACTTTAAGGAGCTCTTCTCAACAATGGTTCAATTTATGATGTGTTTGGACACATACTAAAACTATAAAATGGTAAGGCTTCTAACGATGTACTAACCGTACTAACCCCACATTTGTAAATGTTCTCGACCTCCTACTAGGCACAATTTCCAGGAATATCCCACATTTTCGATAACCTGGTTAACCTTGTCCAGATGGTATTTGAATTCAATCTCTTTTGTAAAGGTCTCCTTGGCGAGACTTGACGGTATATCTATGGGGCTCTGACGCTTGCCTTTAGCAGCAGGATATTTATCGGACCATGTTTGAGGACCCCTTTCCCAATAGTCCCAGTAAGACATTGCAGGATAAGTAATTTGGTGTTCAAGATTCGAAATAGGTCATCGTGTTATGACAGTTCTGTATCAGATGACATTTGCGTGACATTGGCCTTATTTTGACTTGGAATAAGTGACACGTAGAGTAACAATTTTTGTCTCATCAGGAATACACTTGTTATCTACCTCTTGTAGTATTCCAACTGGTTGATCATCTTTCGTTACATCAAAAACAATTTTTGCCAACTTATGATCTAGAGATCGACACCAAATGTAAACAAACAATACATTCTGCACTCCTGGGCCCTAAAACATCGATATTTGTAAAAGTATCCGCATCCACCTATTATTAATCGTCTAGATATTATAAGTCAGAATCAGAAATACTTATTTATGAAAATACATCTCCAAACATTGTTATATTTTCTTATTATTTCTATTATTTTAACACGTCCGTTATATCAATTGCTTTTAAAGTGATCTGCACATCTGCACTGTTGCCGAACCGGCAAAAAAAAAACGGAATCGGTGAAAATAGAAGTATTTAAATTATTTTGAAAAATCGTGGAGAATGATGTTATCAGTAAATATTCTCTTTTCAGTAAAAATACCGAAATATCCGGTTCAAGTCCATGCAGACACAATCTGAAATGTGCAATATGAATTTTTATTCCAAATTCTATGCATATTCGTTCATATTCGTCAATATTTCATTTGAATCTTTTATTTGTCATAAGTTTTTAGCGAAATGTGAGATGTATAGGCAATACCGCACCCTGTAGCCCAGTTGAAGACAAGCTGTCAAAATTAGGGATGTTTAGATCCACGAAAAGTATCCTTATGTACTGATTCTTATCGTTTTAGGAAGTATCGATACTCTAAAATATTGGAATAAAATTATCGATATCCAGCGGAAGGAAACAAAGAACACTACATTGTCGAAATTATGAATTAAATAATTTGTAATTGCTCTTGAATTTGTTCTTGGATTGCGTCTGGATGTCCAAACTTTAGGATCAGATGATTTTCACATTCAGTGATTTGTATTCATATACAGCTTTGACACAATTTGAACAAGCTACATCAGTGATAAAAAATTCTAAATACTGAGTGTGCAACGACTGAGAAAAAGGAAAAGGCTGAAGACGAGACTGTAAACGTTAGCTTTAATTCCATTATGTCAACCTGTGAGTACTTGAAAAAACAGAACAAACTACATACGTTGTTACAAAAAAACCAAAGATTTAGAAACCTCTTAATAAACACACCTATCAAACAAAAACCAGATCCCACTTATAAATAACTATAAACTGCTTTGGAAAATTCAGGTTTCCGTGATATAACATACAAACTGATGAAAAATTATTTGTCGAATCAAACACAGTGCGTCAAAATTAATGATACATTCAGTGAACATCATATCGTAACATACGGTGTACCACAAGGCACAGTATCAGGGCCCATGTAATTCTATCTATTCATCAACAATTTTTTTCAAATTAAGTAGCTATTCTATATAATAATAATAATATTTATTCACTCAATGTACAAAGATAACAAACAATATGATTAAATAAATATAAAATCAAAACAGGCCCAATAGAAGGCATTGCCTGTACATGGACCAATAAATAATTTAAGTTGAAACTGTAGAATGCAAATGACAAAAAAGGACAAAAATTAGCTACAGTAGATTATGTATTTAGTTGATGTTCGTATTTATGAGTTTATGAATTTCAGTCCTAGATATAGAATGTAGCCACTTTTTTAAATTTCTTTTGAAACAATTTCCGAAACGTAAATCTTTTAAGTCTTTAGGTATAATTTCATAAAATTTAGGCGCTAAATAGAGATATGATCGCTGCATTATAGATTTATGCGGTTGAGGAACTACTGTGCCACGAATTTTGTAACTGGTATAATGATTATGTTTAATTTTTTGGTCGGTGTTTTGGAATACTTTTTTGAAAAACATCTAAATTATAGATATGTGAGGAACATGCAGCTCCCCATGCTAATATACCAGATGAGGCTCAATCAGTGCATGGTATAATGTTCGAAGATATTTTTCTGTCAATATATTCCCCAGGTATTTAATTTTGTAGGATACAAATCTAACTTTCTTTAAAATATAATTGCCATGGATGTCCCATCGTAAGTGAGGATCCAAGACCACTCCAAGGTATTTTATGTTGGGCACTCTATTAATTTGCATTTTTTGATCATTAATATTGAAGGAGAAATTTGTGTAATTTGGCAGATGTCTAGCATAAGATCCAAATGGTAAAAAATGTGTTTTAGAGTAGTTAATGCTTAATTTTCTACTGTTAAAGTAACCAGTGAAATACACTAAAAACCAAAATATAAAATGATTTCAAAACGTTTATAAAAGAACCTACCATATACTATTTTCTTTTGACGTTAGCCTCTAACCACATTTTGGTAAGCTTGAATTCCATACAAGCGGTGATCTCAAAGAAATTAAGTCAACTGATGAAATAGAATATTTAAGGGTAATTTTGGACAACCACTTGAAATGGAGCACCTAGTGAAGCGACTGAGATGTATTATGGCGGCTTTGGCTTTTGGATTGAAAGTTGAACTTCATGGATCGAAATGATGTATCAAGATATATTTTAGAACAGAGTTAGCAAATCGTAGGCGAGTGGGTGAAAATCTGTCGATCGCCACCTACCAATGGCGGAAAGCAATATGTCCCTTTTTGTTTGTGTCTATTTAGAAAGGCATTGCTGATTTGCTTTGTAAGTACTTCTTGGCGTATCGACTTCTACCCATGCATAGAGCAGAACGTCGTGGAGTTACGAGCCGTAGACGTAGGGGTCTTCTGTCATCTTTATCTTATGGGACAACGATGAAAATCGAGGGGTTGAAGTCAAGAAGATACCCCGTGGCACCACCACTGCATTGAAACACAGAGTGCATCTGCATCTCTCCGGCCGGATTTTTCCAGTAGACTTCATTTTCTTTTACCGCCGTAATGCTCGACAATTACACTCTTCCACTTCCCTATACAGTTCTCGGTGCTTAAATCCGTGCTAAAATTTAAATCACACCTCCCCTTCCTTCCTTTCTTACCCCCGCCATCCCGCTGTGCATTCCTCTTAGATCTTTAAGCCTCCCTCCTTGAGACAATGGATCCTAATGCCCGATCGTCTATTCGAGCAAAGGTAGTAAAATCCTCAAGTCGTTCGAGTAAATTCTGGTGAATTAGCAGCCCATGAGAGGCTGAACAGTGCCGGTTCTGACATGCAAATTTTAAAAAGTGACAACTTGAGCACATGGGGTAGGTTTTGAAAATATGTAGAAGATACATTTTCTAGACCGATGCTGATTTAAAATTATATGCGATGCTGATGAAACGTTATCGGGTGGATCCTTTATAGTTTTAACAGCATTTTTACTGGTACCTATGCATTTATGTACTAAGTGTTGGAAGCTAGTAAGAATAATATTCTAGGTATACCCTCTCCCAGATGTTTCTGCAGATGTACATTCTTCCCTACAAAAATTTCAAGCTGGGTGAGATCGCATATCTCGCGCGGTCGGATATCACCATTGCCAGAAATCAGGTGGCCCCATTATCACAAATCTGAAATGTATAATGTCTTCTAATCTCATATTTGTGGCAATCCTTATAGTGAACATTTACTGCTCCATGTTCATGGAAAATGAGTGCGAATCTTTCTGGTGCATCTGTGTAATTCTGTTGCGTACCTGATCCATAATTAGATTGCCGAAATTCAAATGACACCAGCGAGATATAAAATTCCATTGTCAAGTTGCTGACACAATGGCGTTAAATTTAAATCCAGAAGTTCCTAACAGAATATTGTTTTTAGCACATATTCAGAAAATGCCCCATAAATTTGTTCGAGTACCCTTACCTACTATACAAGGGCCAATTTCACCAACAACAGTCCGTTATTCTCCACCTATAGGGTAACAGACCGTCAGATACAACGAATGAGATTCAAGTTCCAATCAACAAATATTAGCAACCAATAGTTATGAAATGTTGAAAAGTATGAGATGACGGCTTGTCATTGAAACATCACCAGCTTATTGAATATTAAGAAATTACATATAATTCAGTCAGAATTTAAAGAAATGTTGGATTTTTGAATAAAATTCATGTTCTAATTACTATTGTTGATCTTTTATTCATGTTTATATTATTTTCTTCAATTGATATGCGATACTGGGTGTTTTTTCCTATAAAACACTTGCAGATAGCCATTAAGCACCTACTTGATGACAGACTTTACCAAAAGATATTGCTCGTTTCCAAACATTCATTCATTTACTTGCTGTTCATCAGAACCATTATGGCACCTTATATTGATATTCCCACAAAACCATTCAGGTTTTTTGATTGTTAAATGTAAATTTATAACACAAATCAAAATACATGAAAGTTCACCTGTTTTCTCTGTACAAAAGCATCATGCTGGAATCAAGAAGTGGTCTTGTTTATAATACAGTCGAATTTTCAGGATTTTATTCAATATTTTAATAGAAACCACTGATATTCTGAGACCTTTGACAGCTTCTGTCAAATTGCATAAGGTATTTTCCCATTGGTCCATAATATTAATGTTGGTGAAAGTCACATATAAAATGCAACATCCAGAATTACTTATTGAATTTTGATAAAAACATGTAAACTTATTTGCTATCATGGGAGTATACGCTGATAAAATGTTGAAGGCAAACCGAGCCGTACTTTTTTTGTCAGATCAGTATCCGGACAACAAGAACATCTTATGCTACCACATACTAATTTCTGTTCATTTCCCTTCTCTAAATCCGGTTCTGTATTAGCGAATGTTTAGATACAGTCGCTATCCTAAGGAGTCTCTTTAACCGTCTTTTATTCGTAGCATCGTCGTTATTTTAACATCCAGTCGTTTAGTGTGCCAATTTGCTAGGGTAACTTCATTCGAACGCTACGAGCTACGATGTACTCGCTGCTTTCATTATGGCGGTAGCTCACGCTATCCCAAATGCTGTTAAGAATAGGAACGTAAAAGGTCGCAACTAAAATATTTTGCTTGCCAACAGAGAACGGAATGTAAGCTCAGCGACAT